CCTTTGACACTGTCTCCCACCCCATTCTCATTAAAAAGCTAGGTGACTATGGCATTGATGCCTACAGTCAAATGGGTGGCAAATTAGCTGAGGGGTCGTACTCAGAGAGCGGTGGTGGACAGGTCATAGTCGACCTGAAGGGAAGTGGGTAGTGGGGTCCCCCAGGGCTCGGTCCTTAGGCCCACACTGTTCAATTTCTTTATTAGCGACTTGGACGACAGGGTGAAAAGCACCCTGTTTAAATTTGCAGACGGCACCAAGATTTGGGGTGAGGCGGGCACACTAGAAGGGAAGGACAGATTACAGTGGGACCTGGACAGGTTCCAGGGGTGGGCAAGTGAAAACAGGATGGGATTCAATACTGACAAGTGCAGGGTGCTGCGCTTAGGCAGTAGGAACCAGCAGCAGGAACCAGCAGCATACCTATAGGCTGGGGAACTCCCTGCTCAAAAGCACGATGGCAGAAAGAGATCTTGGAGTCATTATTGACTCCAAGATGTACATGGGCCAACAATGTGAGGACACAATCAGTAGGGCTAACCGTACCTTGTCGTGCATCCACAGATGCATCACGAGCAGGGCCAAGGAGGTGATCTTCCCTCTCTATGCGACACTGGTCAGGCTGCGGCTGGAGTACTGTGTCCAGTTCTGGGCGCCGCCCTTCAGGAGGGATGTGGACAGCATTGAGAGGGTCCAAAGGAAGGCCACCCGCATGATCTGGGGACAGCAGGGCAGACCCTATGAGGAGAGGGTACGGGACCTTAAGTTGTTCAGCCTTCACAAGAGAAGGCTGAGGGGGGACCTGGTGGTCGTCTATAGACTTACTAGGGGGGACCAATGGGGACTGGGAGAGACCTTGATCCCCCAAGTGCCTCCCGAAGTAACAAGGAATAATGGCCATAAGTTGTTAGAGAGTAGGTTTAGATTAGACATCCGAAGGCACTACTTCACAGTCAGGGCGGCTAGGATCTGGAACCAACTTCCAAGGGAAGTGGTGCTGGCTCCTACCTTGGGGGTCTTGAAGAGGAGGCTTGTTGTTTACCTAGCTGGGGTCATTTGAGCCCAGTTCTCTCTCCTGCCCAGGGCAGGGGATTGGACTAGAAGATCTATAAGGTCCCTTCCGACCCTACATCTGTGAATCTATGGCACAGCCAAAGAGGGGTGACACTGCCCTGCCATACCAACTCTAGATCTGCCTGATTTTGATGGGACTTAGTTCAGGCTTAGCAAATTTGTACATGCCACCAAGTTAGGTAGAATTGCAGACACTCAGAAAAGGAGGGCTAGGATCCAGAATGACCTGGATAAACTGGAGACATGGTCTGCAGCCAATCAGATTAAATTTAGCAAAGACAAATGTAAAGTTCTGCACCTGGGACAGAATAATTGTGCATACAAATACAGACTGGGGAATGACTGGCTGAGCTGCAGGACTGCAGGGAAGGACCTGGAGGTTACAGCAAATCATAAGCTGAATATGAGCAAATAGTGTGCTTGTTGCAAAAAGGCCAAAAGCATCCTGGATTGTATTAACAGGAGTGGCACTTGGAAATCAAGGGAAGTGATTTTTTTGCTTTATTTGGCACTGGTGAGGCCTCACCTGGTGTAGTGTGTCCAGTTTTGGGCCCCATGCATCAAGAAAAATGTGGACAGGGTCCAGTGGAAAGTGATAAAAATGGTTAGAGGCCTGGGAAGCATGAATTATGAGGAAAAGCTGAAAGAACTAGAGCTATTAAATCTTGAGAAAAGAAGACTGATCGGGGATTTAATAACAGTCTTCAAATACCTGAAAGGCAATCATTAAGAGGATGAAGATGAGCTTTTCTCTAGGAGACAGGACTTGCATTGCCTTGAACTGCAGCAAAGGATATTTAGGTGGAGATTAGTAAGAACTTAATGACTATGAGAGTGGTTAAGCACTGGCTACCTATAGAAGTGGTGGAATCCCCATTCCTGGAAATTTTCAAGAGTAGTACTTGAGAAGGCCCTAGGCGCTGCCCGCCCAGCCAAATGCGGGGGGCGGGGAAAGGTTGCACATGGAGGCTGCCACCACTTGGCGTCTGGCCACGTGCCACCCCCGCGTCCAGCTGCTGGGGGTACACAGACCCAAAAAAGGTTGAAAACCCCTGCACTAAAATACTTCAGGTAACCTACACATATGTATGGGGGAGGGGGAAGAGATTTGCTTTTATCTATAATTTGAGCAGCTACCTCAATTGAAATCCAAGCTGTAGCCTCTACATTAGCCATGAAGGGATCTGATACTTCCAATACCAGAGATACTGTGGAAGAAAGCAGTGAGCCAGCGAGGTCAAACAAAGCATGACAGAGAGGTTTGCTTTTGTGGAGCTCTGGTCACTGGCAATAATTAGAGAGCATGTACAACTTGGATGGCCTCCCCCTCAGACGGAATAACATCTATCAGGCTGGCCAGCACAGTCAGGAGAACACTGAACTAATAACAAAAGAAGGTGGAAGCAGAAAGCAAATGAGTATTAACTGAGCACAAAATCAACCAAGACACAAAGGAGGAGGAAGAGAGGAAATTCTTTAAATTGCCTAAGCAATGCCTAATAGCACAACAATGCTGGGAGCCTAGGAATAAGCCAGAGGAACTGAAACTACTCATTTGTGAGCAAAAGTCCAATGTAGTTGATATTATTGAAGTCTGCTGAGATGCTTCACCTGTTTGAAAACCTGAAAATGGATTTGCATGGGCAGTCCTACCTCATAGCAAGGGCATCCAACTCCAGGCTGCTGCTGCCACGGGGCAGAAACAGCCCCATGCACCTGTTTTCAGGAGGAACGTCAGAGCCCAACAGAAGTGGCACACCTTCCTGCATCAGGTAATGAGGCAAGCATACCTCTCTGCTGCAGCTACTTCTCAGTTTGGCACTGACATGCATCCTGAAAGCAGAGGTGCTCAGGGCAGTTCCACCTGCTCTGCACACTTTTATTTCCTGGAGACACCATGCAGGGGTGTCTCAGAAAAGGCCACAAGAGCACATGCTCCTGTCACAGCCCCTTCCCAATCTGGCTCTGTAGTTCCACCTGGCTGTGGCAGAGGCACCCTGGTGAGAACCACCGATTCAGATAGCATGGGTGGGGGAGGGGACTTCTGTCTCTTGTTTTGCCCTTTTAACATATATTTTTAAAAACAGCGAAGTTACCCATGGAAGAAACCCATTACATAAAGAGTTTAGTTCTCAGTGTGTGCAGTCACTTGACCACAGCATGATTTTGGTCAGAGTGGATGGGGACTATAAAATATGTAAATGACTGGCTTGTACTAGCACTGCAGCTTTGAAATCTCAGCGTAAAAAAAATTTGTAGGTGTATAATTACAAACCATGGCAAGGGACCAGACTTGATGATCTTACAGGTCCCTTCCAGTCCTTCTTTCTATGATTCTATGAAACATGATCCTGTTTTACAGATTCTTTTTACTAATAAAACACAGGGCCACATAGCTCTATTGTAAAACAACAAAGCTTGTGCCTCCATTTTCAAAGGTACTATGATGTATGCCTTTGTATGGAGAACAAAGAAAGTAAGGCTTGGACTGAGGAATGGCTTGAAACTCTACAAGGCCTGATGCAATACACAACAGTGGATCTCAACTGGGATGCCACAAAATACAAACAGGCTGCCTGGACTCTAAAAAGGTTGAGAACCACGGCTTTAGGTAATGGTACACAAGGGAACAGTGTGCCTAGCATAACGGCTGGCTGCCTTGGACTCTGAAGCCTGAAGGGGCAGCTACCACTTATAGCTCGGGTTACAGAGCACACTAGAGAACAGGACTGGCTGCTAAACACTTCTCTACAATGTGTAGGACAAAACTTTTTTACAGGGGACTTCAACCTGAGTGAGGCATGTGGGAAGTCTCATGTCATCAGTACTACAGCAACTTTGGAATTTCTGAATATTAAAGAGAACAATTTCTTAACTCCAAAATTTCTTAACTCCATTGGATCCAACACAAGGAAAATCTTCATTAGATTTTGCCTTGACAGCTAAACAGGACTGATACATCTAAGTTACCAATAATCTTTAGATCCAAGTCACCAGACCTTGATTGCATTCTTTATGTACAAAAAGAATAAAGTCCAAACCAACTGCGTACGTGTACACACACACACACAGGCAGATCCAGAGGGGATGCAGTAGAACAGCTGCATCCCCTTTCAGATCGGATCACATCCTGGGAGCCTTTTTTCAAGTCCCCAAAGCATGTAAGAACCCCCCCGCCTCCTTCCCCTCCATGCTCAAAGGCAGGCCCCCTCCCTTCCCCCACCTGCTGCATTTCTTGCTGGGGGAGAGAAGGGGGCCTGGTTACCAGGGGCTGAGGGAGGGAGTGGCAGAAGGGGATGCATCTCTGAACACCGAGAGGAAGGGAGGGAATTTTTCCTACTTTGGGGACTTTACAGAAGTCCTTAGAGGCTCCAGCAGTGCAGTCTGCCCACACCAGAGGATTATGGAGGGAAGAGGCTGGTCTGGAAGCTGGGATGCAGGCACCCCTGCAGCAGGAGTGGCTGCTCCTGCGCGCCCATTTTCCAAATCCTGGATCTGCACCTGGGGCTTTGAAAGGGCCACATTCACAAAGCTGAAAACAATTATGAGCTAATCATTTGGAAAACAGAATTTAAACAGAAACTGTGAATGATAATTAGGAATTACTAAAGAACAATGTTTAGATACTCAAAAAGCCACACGTCCACAACAGAGGAAAAAAGGCAACCTTGATTAAAGGAAACCATCTGGCTTATGGAAGAAGCAGAAATAGCTCTAATAATAAGCAACTGGAAGAAAGGGAACATTGACAGTAATGGCGGTAAATGAGGCAATGGAAACCAAAAGGACAGACCTTCCCAAGAGGCAGCATGAAACTCTTGAACCTGCCTCCTTCTCCTTGGAGCTAATAGAGCAAAGGTACCTGGAGCCTCTGTGTTGTACCCTTCTCTAAAGCCTAGAGGGACAGAGAAAGTAGGAAGCCTCACCTGCAGAGTTACCTTTCTGTTGCCCATCTGCTCTCTCTGACATTTGTCATGCTCTGTGATCCTCCTGTTCAGTTCAAGATATGCCTGCTGCAGCTGCATGGAGAGAAAGAGGAAACAGACAGGAAAGGTAATCTAACATGTGTTACAGATTGAAGCTAGGCCTGTCAAGGTGGGAAAGCACAGCCTCCACCACTTTGGGAGATGGGAAATTCCATCTCCCTATGCTCCAGGGAAGGTTGGAACTTTTCTGCCACATATAGGGAATAACACCCTGGGGTCTGGATATGAAACTGGGGCTGCCTAGCTGGAACAGCGAAAGGTCAAATGGGCTAAAGAGCAGGAGGGCAGCTGGGCTGGCCCTGTCTGTGCGGGTACAATGGAAGCAAGGATGCCTTTGTACTGATCGTGCACTGTGAGGGATACAGGACACTTCCCCTCAGCTCCTTCTCTTGCAGAGGCAATAGCTAGATCTGGGCTCTCTCTCTGCAGGACAAACCAGTCTCCCACCAATGACACAGACTAGCCACTTCTGCACATCTCCTTGACCACCTGAACTACAGCTTTTGGAGCTGCCAGCAAGAGATCAGCATCAAAGTGGCATCAACTCTACCCCAATTCTGTCAGGGACCAAGTGGGCCAGATAGCTGGGCACTGGGGTAGATGTCACCTGCCGCCTGACTGGGAGGACTGGAAATGGAAGACTACTGACACCTAGGGAGTTGTCCAATACAAGCACAGAACTGACCTCCTGGTTACACCTCTCCTGATCCTTCACCAGCTGCTCCACCTCCTCATTCATTCTGCAGAAAGAACATGCACTTCAGTCCTGCAAGCCGTCATGCTGGGGATGACTGCAGCAGTCTCTGGATTCCTACCCCTATTCTAAAGGATGTCCTGACCAGACTGGGAGGGAAATAGGAAACCAATGATAATCACCACCTCCAGGGCATCAATGGGTTCTTGAGAATACCTGGGACTCAAACTTGAGGTTTCTCCTTTCACCAATTCTTATCTTACTGCTTCTGTCTCTCTCTTATGTTTCCTTTTTTGCCTTCTCTGTCTCATTAAGCCAAGTTGTGAAACACCATATGCCAGTCAAAGGCAAAAAATCCTGGTATAACACAGGGTTTACAGGATTGCTGTAGAACCATCACAAGGATGGAGTGGGAAACACTGCGATGGCTGTATCTTACTGTCCTCCCTCTCCTGACTGGGCTGGAGTACACGTCTCACCGGTGAGTTTCAGCATCTTTCAGCTTCTTTTCCTGCAAAGCTCTTCTCTGCTGCTCTGACTCCATCCTCTGCAGCATCATTTCTGTCAAGCTGATGTCCCAGGATTGAAAGATGGTGACCAAGCCATCCAAAGAAGCAACCTATTGGACACATGAGCACCATTTCAGTTGGCAAGACCAGTGAGCAATGGCTGAGAATGACCCTCTAATTCTCTCATCTCACAGGCATGAACAGTGAACTGCAGGGCTGAAGACAACCCCCAGTTCAGCAACACAGGCACACTCTACCACAGCGGGGAACACAACACCATGCTTCAGCTGCACGTGCACCAAGCATTAGGGCAGGAACACAACCCCCAACACAGCACAAGCGCTGGGAACCTGTCTCCAAATGGGAGCAAGGAAAGAAAAGGGATGGGAATTACGGGAGCCATCCAGAGTGCTGTGGCAAAGATCATTATCCTGACCTGTCCTTTTGACCATGTCATCCTTCTTGCCATTGGCTCTCCCAGCTCTATCACATCTAATAGAAGCTGCTTGTCTTCACTTTCAAGGCCTTTCACAGCCTGTTCCCTCACTACCTACCAGCTCTAATTCAGTATGGCAGCACTAGTCTCCACTGCTCACTCGTCAGATTTACAGACACTCTGGGCTTTCTCCCCTGCTGCCCCTCATGCCTGGAAGCAGCAGCTCACAGACATCAGTAAACTGACCTCCTTTTCCTTTTTCAAATATCTCACTAAAACCCCTTTGCTGCGACGTTTAGAAAAAGCTCAACAGCCAGTGGGCTACCCGTATACTGAGGACACTGCTCATCATGTTGACCAGTATTTGCTCCTTCTGTGCTCCCCTGCCTGTCTGTCTGTCTGTCTGTCTTCACCTGTTGTTTCTTGTCTTACACTTAGCTTTGTGGTACAGTAATACAAATACCTATAACACAGGGATCACTAGCTCTGTGTATTTTCCTTATTCCTACCTTGAGGGTCTTTCCTATCAACACTGTTTTCTTTTCATTTGTGAATTAAATGGATGGGTTGACGTATCCCTACTTGATAGCTAAAACAACCCATTACTGAAGTACACAAGTGACTACTGACCAGCCTCTGCTCACATAATACTAACAACTACACTGAAAATAAAAGGCACATCAGACTCAACTATCAAGTCCTGTTCCTGACTGAAAATGTTGTACTTGATCCTGTCACTCCTCTGATTACTAGAACTAACACTAGAGAAAGGAGGGTGTATTTTTCCATTTCTTCAATTTTATTATGAGTAATTGACAGTTCTATGAATAGGGACAGCACTGCATTTCTCCTTGTACCGTCAGTTAATTTCTCATCCTTTTTGTATAGGTCCACCACACAACAACAGGAAAAAGCACAAAAAATGAAGAATGGTGATGTAAGGCAGCAGTGCCCAATCATTTTCCCCCACTTGGGCCAGATGGAGGGTGCTCAGTCTGTCCACAGGCCAGATTGGGATGGAAGGCCCAATTCAGCATGTCGGGGG